AATCATATGAATAATTATTTTAAAATTTCAAAGAAAAAGGGGAATAATAAAGTAGGAAATTTCAAAAGTTGTTAAGATATATAGTAGATATTTTAAGAACTAATTTTTTATTATTATTTTTTTTATTAAACTGATGATTAACAAAGAATGCTTCGAAATATCCACGTTTAGTGAGAATCAGATCACAAAGATTTTCATTAATATCAATTATAAGCGTAATTAATTATTAACAAATCACCGAAACTACAGCAAAGAGAGAATAAATAATAGCTTCTTTGAAAATAATGAGGAAACCAATAAACAATTTCCTGATTCAAAAGCTAGTAGTACCAATGATCAATTTTAAACTATAATATGGACCAGCATAATAATGAACGTATTAATGACAATCAAGTAAAAAAGAAAATATAAGGAATTTGAATGTTTTCTGTAATTAAGTTAACCAACCTGAAAATCTAAATTACAAATCACAAATTTTAATAAGATGAAAATAATGGAATCTATGTCCAATAACCAGCCGCCAATCAATATTATCTCAGGAATGCTTGAACAAACGACCCTAGCAAACAATAGTATACAAGCTGATGACATTGAATCTATAATCATGTAGAAATTTTCAACTAATCGATTAATAAATTTAAAAGTAAATTATTAGTATACATTATTGCAAACAAAAATTTTCATACTGGACGTTTAAACCCCACTCACAAGAATTCCTCCTGGAAATTGGTACTGTAAAGAGTGTAAAAGCGGGAATTCAAAGAAATCGAAACGTATAATGCTACTTGAATATTCAAGTTCAGATGATATTGATAATCAAAGTGAAATCAAAAAAATATAAGGCACAACAGGATACTTCAGATTCCGACGATGAAGACAGTCAAAGTATAAAAGAAAAAGATAACAAATGTAAAAAAGAGACTTTATCAGATCCTTTAGATATTATTGCTATATAAGGTTTTGGCTAATTTATGTATATAATTTAAAAATTTTTTACTTATAAGAACGTATGTAAAAATTATAGAAAAATCAACATAATGATAGTTCTATAAAAGAGTGGAAAATACTAATTTTCCTGTTGTTGTTATAGAAGGGGATGAATGTTTTAGCAGTAGACAAATAAACACTACTATATAACAAAATTTCACTAGTATATATTATTTATTTTGTTATTTTTAAAAGTGAATAGATAAAACAGAGAATGTGCCAGTAATCCAATTGGATGCGAATAACCAGGTAAATATTCATAATCAAATTTTGACAGATTTAAAAATAAATTTCAAGGTTGTAATTAAACTTATCAAATTACAAAGGAATCATTCACACAACTCAATAGTTCTCAAGTTCAATTTCTTGAAGTTCAACCTCTCTTCACTCAATAAATCAAGTTGAAGGTTCAATTGATGAAATTGATGAAGATAATTACTTCAGATGAAGATAGTTAATCTTTACAAGTATGACAAATTTTAATATATTATGTCTGCTTATCGTGATAGTATACTAATAGCTTAGTTTAGGCATGTAAGTCTTATACTTTTATATATATTAGTATAATACTATATATAAACTAAATATTAGTGTATTTTATTATAATTAGTATATAATATGAACATAATGATGGTCATTATCTAAAATATATTTTATAATATGAATATGCTAATACATCTAATATTAATAACGAAAATGATTATCAATTTTCAAGAGTCTTATACATCCATACCCTTTGCGAATTAGTGCATAGCTAACGAAAAGAATAAAGGAACTAAAGAACTCTGGTCAAATTTTTATTTCCGGATTTATCACTATGATTGATCAAGCTAGAAGCAAATAACAGGAATCATGAATTTACAAAAAGTGAAAGGATTGTGAGCCGTTTAAATAAAATATTAGTAGAAATATCAACAATTTACCATGAAGGTAAACCAGCAATAATTAAAAATTTAATGGTTGCAGCTAGTTGTTCATTGATACTTGTTCAAAAATTGAATTGGCAAGTAATTTATGATAGTAAAACAATTGAACTACCCAGGCTAAGAGTTATAAAAAAGGATTGGGCAGTGCCATGCAAAATAATAGATCAGATTTTTTAAATTATAGATATCAACATATTATGGAGTTGGAATGTGTCATCTTGGTAAATGTTTTGAAGAAGGTATTGGTACTAATCAAGATTTAAACCAAGTATTTTTTTTGTATTTATTTTCTGCACAAAATATATTGTTGATGGAATTAAAAATGTTGCAAGATATTATAGAGAAGATATTGGAACAAATATTGATTAATATTGAAGTTTATTTTTGCATAATAGAGAAATAATAGCTAAATTTTTTCTATTATATTTTTTTATATTTTATCTAAAATTGACTAAATATTACTGTATAATACATTATTTTTTACATTTTTATCTAAAATTGACTAAAGAAACATTACAAGTATTTAAAATATTATAAAATTTAAATTATATTAATAAACAAATAATGAGGTTTTTATAATTTATATAACATATATAACATGTCAGAATAGTTTGAATTAATAATAAATTTATCAAATAATTTTCTTTTAATATTTTTAAATCAATATTTTAAAAATGAATATACTATATCTGCATGTTTTTTTGGGTTATTTCGGGACACACATGTGTGGTAATTCGAAATAACGTATGTATGCGTTATTAGCACAAATACGATAACTAATTTTGACAATAGAACATTGACAATATACAGTAAACCCTGTCAAAACCGATACTGTTAAAACTAATATTTTATTATAAAATACATTTATAATAGTTTTGTATCTATTATATATTTTATTATATTTTTTAGATTTTTCTGAGTTTTGAATATAAAAATTTTTAATACAAAATTTTCATTTTAGTTTTAATATCTAGAGTTAAAGTTAGAGTTTGTAAAGAGTTCCTGATTACCTTGTCTGTTTCTAATATGGTATACACTTTTATAACCAGTATGCATGGTAGACAAATTTTAAATCAGCTTTAAAAGGTTATCAGGTTTAAAAGATTAAAATTACTACAGTCAGACCTCCCTAAATGCATATTCCCTAAATGCATAGTCTCTCAAAATGCATGGTCTTGTTTGGCCCCAACACATATAACACTTATAGATTTTTATCTCCCTAAATGCAATATCTCTCTAAATACAAGATTTTTTGGCTGTCCGAGGCTATGTATTTAAAGAGGTCTAACTGTATATTAGAAACAAACATAGTGAATTTTTGACAAGTTATCAGTTTTAATAGGTTATCTGTATAGTAATTTAACCTCTTAAGCCTGATAACCTTTTAAAGCTAATATAAAATTTTATACTAGTTTTGACAGGGTATACTGTATTAAATTATCCAAATTAGTGAATTTACATATTGTTTAGCCAATTTTATATGTAATATTTTCTTAAACAGATCAATTATGAAAAACTTAGTATATATCATACAGACCCTTACCCAGTGTTAGCACATTTATTCATTAGGATAAATGGAGAATAACTATTGACAACATTGAGAATAATTTCTGAATAGAGCCAATTGAAGCCAACCAACTCCATTAACATTGATCCGTTTTTAAACAGAACGAACTATTAGTGTTAGATTAGAATCATAATCTTTATCGGCTTAGTTAGTTTTCTCAATAGAGTATATTCATTGTCAATTCTGCCTTTACCCTACCATTAAACTAGCCCTCTAACTCTAATTTAAGTAAATTTCAAAAAATCACATGGCTAGCAATTATAGTAATTTACGTTGGTTTGATTTTCATAAAACTGACCAATAGAAAATTTTATAATTTATTTAACCAATATGGTAAATTAATTTGTTTTGATTTTCATCATCTTGACCAATAAAAAAATTTAAATTTATTTAACTAATATGGTAATTTACATTGTATAATATATTTGGAATACAGATTGTCATTTTAAAAAAAAATACCTTAATGATTTAATATTCAAAGAAAGTTTACAATTTAAGCTTTCTTCTAAATATTAAGTCATCAAGATAGATACAAATTTCATCGAGATATGAGCTGTAAAAGTTAATGTATTAAATTTTTAAAACGTCTATTGACGGCAGCCCATTTGATCTAATCACAAAAAACAGCAGAATTTTTTTAAAACAGCTAACCACATAAATTGACTCTAATCACTACAGACTACTACAGAATACACAAAAATACTACAAATTCTAAAGAATTCACATATAATCATCGTAAAATATTACAGAATTGAGCCAATGATGTCAGCAAAATTTTGGGAAGATGGAATTAAATAAGCATACTTATATAAATCACAGAATTTGTACAAGATTACATTTACTTCTGATTTTTATCTGTAGTACAGAACACAATGCCTAAATCTTTTGTTTAATTCTTTAAAGCAATTAAGTATATTATATTTAATAAAACTAAAATTTGACTAAGTTTTTGTTTAAGTTAAATATAATATGTTACATAATAAAAATGAAATGCTTTGAATCATTTATAAAACATTTGAGTGTCGCCAAGGGAAAACCACAGCATCGAAATTTTAATTATATTTTGTACCAGACACAATGCCTAATAAATTAAATAGATTAGTTCAGTAAAAAATATATTTGAAATTTCGACCTGTAGTTTTCTCTTGGTGGCAACATTTTTAAATCATAAAAATCGATTTAAATCATAATTTTTGCCATCCCTAAGTTTTATATAACAAGGTTAAAGAGGAGAATAAAGAACTCAAAATCAAATAGACGAAATTATGAAAAGAAATGAAATATTGTGATCACTATATGGAAGAGAATTTATTTCTAAAAATCAAACAAATTGTATTATGTGTTATTAAAACCCAATATTGTATGCTATTGCTCCATGTGGTCATTTAGTTCACTGCGAAGTCTATATAGCATGTGTTAACATGTATGTTTGTGTCGCAAACAAAAAAGTCTGTATTAAAAATTTATACTTAAAATTTTCTTCTTTTTTATTATGTAATTTATGGATAGGATAATTTATAATTGCTTGTTCTGATCTTTTATGAGATATTATAATACTACAATCAATTATCCGTGAATGTGTAATAAAGAAATATTTGCTTCTGAAAGCATGATTATAACAAAAATCTAAAAATTTAGTGATTGGACGGATCCAATCACTACATTGAAAACACTAATATTCAAATATTTATTTTAATACATAGATACAGATTTTGAATATTATAT